GAACCAGTCCCCTTCTAAGAGTGAGGAATGTAGAGCTGGACCAGTTCCCTGCTATCAGTGAGAATGTAGAGCTGGAATACCAGTCCCCTTCTATCAGTGAGATGTAGAGCTGGAACCAGTCCCCCTTCAGAGTGAGAATATAGAGCTGGAACCAGTCCCCTGCTATCATGAGGATGTAAGAGCTGGGACCAGTCCCCTGCTATCAGTGAGAAAGTAGAGCTGGAACCAGTCCCATCCTCTAAGATGAGAAGTAGCTGAACCAGTCCCCTGCTATCAGTGAGATGTAGAGCTGGAACCAGTCCCCTGCTATCAGTGATGATGTATGCTGGAACCAGCCCCCTGCTATCAGTGGAGGATATAGAGCTGGAACCAGTCCCCTCTAAGATGGAAATGTAGAGCTGGAACCATCCCCTGCTATCAGTGAGATGTAGAGCTGGACCAGTCCCCTATCAGTGAGATGTAGAGCTGGAACCAGTCCCCTGCTAAAAGTGAGAATGTAGAACTGGAACCAGTTCCCTGCTTATCAGTGAAATGTAGAGCTGGAACCAGTCCCCTGCTATCAGTGAGGATGTAGAGCTGGAACCAGTCCCCTGCTATCAGTGAGGATGTAGAGCTGGACCAGCCCCTGCTAAGAGTGAGAATGTAGAGCTGGAACCAGTCCCCTGCTAAGTGAGATGTAGAGCTGGAACCAGTCCCCCTGCTATCAGTGAGGATTAAGCTGAACCATCCCTGCTATCAGTGAGATGTATAGCTGGAACCATCCCCTGCTAAAAGTGAGAATGTAGAGCTGGAACCAGTCCCCTGCTATCAGTGAGATAGAGCTGGAACCAGTTCCCTGCTATCAGTGAAGTGTAGAGCTGGAACCAGCCCCTGCTACGAGTGAGAATGTAGAGCTGGAACCAGCCCTGCTACAGAGAATGTAGAGCTGGACCAGTCCCCTGCTATCAGTGAGGATGTAGAGCTGGAACCAGTCCCCTTCTAAGATGAGAATGTAGAGCTGGAACCAGTCCCCTGCTATCATGAAGATGTAGAGCTGGACCAGTCCCCTGCTATCAGTGAGATGTAGAGCTGGAACCAGTCCCTTCTAAGTGAGAATTAGAGCTGAACCAGTCCCCTGCTATCATGAGGATGTAGAGCTGGAACCAGCCCCCTTCTAAGTGAGATGTAGAGCTGGAACCATCCCCTGCTATCAGTGAGGATGTAGAGCTGGAACCAGTCCCCTGCTAAGAGTGAGAATGAGAGCTGGACCAGTCCCCTGCTATCAGTGAGATGTAGAGCTGGAACCAGTCCCCTGCTAGAGTGAGAATGTAGAGCTGGAACCAGTCCCCTGCTATCAGTAGTGTAGAGAAGCTGGACCAGTCCCCTGATATCAGTGAGATGTAGAGCTGGAACCAGTCCCCTGCTAAGTGAGAATGTAGAGCTGGAACCAGTCCCTGCTATCAGTGAGATGTAGCTGGAACCAGTCCCCTGCTATCATGAGGATGTAGCTGGACCAGTCCCCTGCTATCAGTGAGGATGTAGAGCTGGACCAGCCCCCTGCTAAGAGTGAGAATGTTGAGCTGGAACCAGTCCCCGCTATCAGTGAGATGTAGAGCTGGAACCAGTCCCCTATCAGTAGGATGTAGAGCTGGAACCAGTCCCCTGCTAGAGTGAGAATGTAGAGCTGGAACCATCCCCTGCTAAGAGTGAGAATGTAGAGCTGGAACCAGCCCCTGCTAAGAGGAGAATGTAGAGCTGGAACCAGTCCCCTGCTAAGAGTGAGAATGTAGAGCTGGAACCAGTCCCCTGCTATCAGTGAGAATGTAGAGCTGGAACCAGTCCCCTGCTATCAGTGAGAATGTAGAGCTGGAACCAGTCCCCTGCTAAGAGTGAGAATGTAGAGCTGGAACCAGTCCCCTGCTAGAGGAGAATAGAGCTGGAACCAGTCCCCTGCTATCAGTGAGAATGTAGAGCTGGAACCAGTCCCCTGCTATCAGTGAGAATGTAGAGCTGGAACCAGTCCCCTGCTATCAGTGAGAATGTAGAGCTGGAACCAGTCCCCTGCTAAAGTGAGAATGTAGAGCTGGAACCAGCCCCTGCTATCAGTGAGGATGTAGAGCTGGAACCATCCTGCTATCAGTGGATGTAAGCTGGAACCAGTCCCCTTCTAAGAGTGAGAATGTAGAGCTGGAACCAGTCCCCTGCTATCAGTGAGGATGTAGAGCTGGAACCAGTCCCCTGCTAAGTGAGAATGTAGAGCTGGAACCAGTCCCCTGCTAAGAGTGAGATGTAGAGCTGGAACCAGTCCCCTGCTAAGATGAGAATGTAAGCTGGAACCAGTCCCCTGCTAAGAGTGAGAATGTAGAGCTGGAACCAGTCCCCTGCTATCAGTGAGAATGTAGAGCTGGAACCAGTCCCCTACTATTAGTGAGATGTAGAGCTGGAACCAGTCCCCTGCTAGAGTGAGAATGTAGAGCTGGAACCAGTCCCCTGCTAAGAGTGAGAATATAGAGCTGGAACCAGTCCCCTGCTATCAGTGAGAATGTAGAGCTGGAATCAGTCCCCGCTATCAGTGAGAATGTAGAGCTGGAACCAGCCACCTGCTATCAGTGAGAATGTAGAGCTGGAACCAGTCCCCTGCTAAGAGTGAGAATGTAGAGCTGGAACCAGTCCCCTGCTATCAGTGAGATGTAGAGCTGGAACCAGCCCCTGCTAAGAGTGAGAATGTAGAGCTGGAACCAGCCCCTGCTATCAGTGAGATGTAGAGCTGGAACCAGTCCCCTGCTAGTGAGAATGTAGAGCTGGAACCAGTCTCCTGCTATCAGTGAGGATGTAGAGCTGAACCAGTCCCCTTCTATCATGAGGATGTAGAGCTGGAACCAGTCCCCTTCTAAGAGTGAGAAGTAGCTGGAACCAGCCCCCTGCTATCAGTGAGGATGTAGAGCTGGAACCAGTCCCTGCTAAGAGTGAGATGTAGAGCTGGAACCAGTCCCCTGCTAAGGTGAGAATGTGAGCTGGAACCAGCCCCTGCTAAGAGTGAGATGTAGAGCTGGAACCAGTCCCCTGCTAAGAGTGAGGATGTAGAGCTGGAAC